TTATTAGAATAATGATTGACAGAAATGTGATTGGCAGATCACGCGTCATGACAGAATCCACATGCATAGTTTCAGCTTTAACCAGAAATGTCCTACGCTTACGCTTCGGACAATTAAAAATAGAATTAAAAATTTACTAAAGATGAAATAGATGAAATATAAAATTCTGAATGTGATATGTCAATAGCAACAACATATTAAAAAAATATATTTTGAAATGAAGATGTTATGTTTTTTAATTATACAGTCAAACCAATAAGACTTTCTATCATTAGAACATAAAACGTATTTAGAGTTTGATAATTTATGAAATTGATGGAATTCAGATAATATAACGCTATAGTCTGATATACTTGTTTATAAAGTATTAGGTATTTTTAACATTTGATTTCATTGTCAATGTTCAAATTTAACGAAAAAAATACCAAAATGAAAATGATCGAAAAAAATGACAAATCTGTTTTGTACTATCAAATTGTCATTATTATACATAATCGATACTTAATTAAATTAGAATTTTTAATTATGATTATGCGATAAATTAAAAGGTAAAATAATATTAATTTATGTAAATATTTGGGCATTGCAACGCTATTACAAATTTTTTTATTAAAAAAAAAATTTATTATAAAATAAAAAAAAAAATAATATATATAAAAAAAAAAATTAAAATTAAAAAATAAAATAATAATAAAAATTAAATTAAAATTAAAATTAAAATAAAATAAAAAATAAAAAATTAAATTAAAAATTAAAATTAAAATTAAAAAATAATAAATAAAAATTAAAAATTAAAAATTAAAAAATTAAAAATTAAAAATAAAAAATAAAAATTAAAAATTAAAATTAAAATAAAAATAAAATTATTAAAAAAAAAAAATAATAAATTAATGTCTTCTCAGCGAAAAACTTCTCCTTTGTGAAGAATATGACCTCCTTTTATATCTTTGGAAATGGGATCTATGATCTTTTGAATGACAGCGGAAACGTGATCTACGATCTTGTGAATAATGATGACGAGAATAGGATCTATGATCCTGAGAATGACCATGAGAATGGGATCTACAATCTCAGCGAGAATGAGATCTATGATGATACTGGTATCAGTGACAATCTACATTTTGTCTTCTATACTGATGATGATTTACGTCTAAAAATAATAAAAAATAATAAATAAATTAAAAAATTAAAGTTTTAAAAAGTAAAAAATATATTTCCTATTACTATTATTTAATAAATAATTACCAGTTCAAAGCCAAAATTCGTCACCCAACTCTGTATGAAATATCCGATTATGCAGAGTTGGATTTGTTATTGGTTGGTCGTAGGAATTCTCATCTTCTAACCTCTTAAGATTTTTGTATCCATATTTTAATGAGTACAATTTTCTTCGACATTGAGAGAGAGAAATGGCAAACCCTCTATTAATAAACAATCGATTGGATATGGTTCTCCATATATTTTCATGATAATTGTTTGAAATGAATTCAAAATCGTCATGATTATCACGTCTTAAATGAATTAATTCTCTTACGACGTCAACGGTCCATTCAAATTGAGCAATAGCGGAAGCAGCCAAAGCTATAACGATAGATAAAAAAAGAAAAAATAAATAAACAGAATCAATAAATAAAAAAAATAAAAAAATGAAATAAATGGGATTGAGAAATAAAAAAATAAAAAATACGAAATAAACAAGATTGAGAAATAAAAAAAAACGATCGAAAAATAAAAAAATGAAATAAACGGTGATCGAAAAAAATAACGATAGATAAAAAAAAGAAAAAAGTGAAATAAACGGTAATTGAGAAATTGACGTAAAATAAAAAATCTGAAAAAAAAGAAAAAAATGAAATATTAAAAAAGAAAAAAAAGAAAAAAAACGAATTAAAAATAGCAATCGAAAAAATAGGTGAAATAAAAAAATCGAAAGATAAAAAAAAGAAACAACAAATTTAAAAAAGAAAAATGAATTAAAAGAATTGAAATAACAAATAAAACAATGAGAAAAATAATCAAAAAATAAAAGATGAAGGAGACAAGAAAAGATTTATATTCATGATTTTATTGATGATATATTGTGAAAAATGATAAATTTGAGAGCATAAATCACATATATTTATATCTTTTATTTTTATTAGAGAACTTTTGATAATACAATAAAATTATTATAAAAAACTGATCAATA